ACTATTATTCTCACGAGAGCAACGGAGTGAAATTGATCCGTTAATTCTCTCTCACAGCGAGAAAGAAATAAAAAGGATTGTTGGGATAAGGGATAATCTCCCCCCTGCGACATTTTCCATTCTGGTCACTGACTTCGGAGCTTCGTTATTGCGAAAGGTTCACGAGAGAGTTCGCAAGACCGACGAGGCGACCGTAAGCGGCGACCGTTGAGGAGCGTTGATTAATGACGGTCGTGGTATTTTATGCGGCGGTATTAATAAATAAATAAGCAAGATAGCAATCTGTCGATCACGCGTGTCGAGTAAATCGATGAAGAATTCGTGCCGATTGCGTTATTTGTTAATTCATCGTAGACACGATTCAAAGCGAGCGATAGAAGAAACGAATTCGATACGAAGTACACAAGCGAAGAACCACGTAAATATCAGCTAAATTAGCTGGTTGATAATCAACACGGGTCACTTAACGACAAGGTTGTCCTGCGCGCGAGCAAGCGTGCGACGATTAAACAACGCGTCCAGTTGCGTTAGCGCGACTAAACACAAATGACGTTTGCAGAACGAAACTCTACGCACGATCCCCACGAGCCTATTGGCGCTGACCAAAGCGCACGTGTGTCTCTAAACAATTGCGCGATGTTAATGAGAGAATCCATTATTGCTGCGTTCGCTGGATCGAAAGTGTCGGACGATGTTTCTATCAATGTAAAATCACGCGTGATTAAACCGTACCACATATATATTTGATAGAGAAAATATGTTTATAATAATTAAACAGTAAAAATTTAATCAAGATACATATATAGAAAGAATAAACTTATGAAAAATATATTCAATCATAATAAAATTATAAATTACAAGTTTCAAAATTACCTGTCATCTTTCGCGCGCGTGATCGGAGGAGATTAAATATCCTCGACTCATGTTTTTTTTTTTTTGCGCGCGCGCGTATCGTGAGAAAACAAATTAGCGCGTGTATAATCATGCAAATAATCACGAACATGATGCAAAGTAAAAGAAAATTGCCAGCGAGCTGCCGTAATTACATTGAATTATCAATTGTCGTTAATCGCGTATCGAGTTGGAATTACTTTCGGTAATCTAATCGAAGCGAACACATCGCCGCCAGTGGAATCCGAGGTAATTCCGTGGCATGCGATATCCGTAATTCGCCGCTGCACTTTTTTTTTTAAAAGCTTTTACTTTGAATAGTATATGATCCGCGCCCGCTCTCGTTCGGTTAAAAAAACACGCAAAAATTCCCGCCCGTAATGATAGATAATTCATTTTTCGCGATGTGGGTGAAAAAAGTGACGGCCGGTACGTCACACGCTCGAATGTCCCCGCCGCTTGATCTCTTCGCGGAGATGAACGGGAGAAGAATCTAACGGCTAACAATATCGTCCAAAAAATCAGGCATTGTATTTTATAGCGGGCAGACTTTCTGGAAACTTCAGGTATGATAAATATGTAGTTAATTTTTTTTGTGCCGGGAAAAAATTGCGACGTCACTCGCGCTCGCATTTTATCGGTCGTGGGCGGATAACGGAAGAGCCGCGACCGGAGAGGAAAGAAGGACACACGTAAAAGAAACGTTTATTATTGCCACAGGGACAATGTCCGCCGCTCGCGGCTGCGAGAAGTGATTTACGGTTCGGGCGACAGGTCGTTGTACCGGCAAGAAACGATGTCGTTTGCTGAGCAAACCGGACGATCATCGAGGAAGATATAAATCGCGGACGAAGTGGAGTTAACCTTTTCCGGCGCGGTGATTTCGACACATATACACGCGAGTCTTTCTCTCTCTCTCTCTCCTCCCTCTGTGCCGCGACTGTTCCCCGTATAAGCACGCAAGCGTATGTATCTCTCGTGATTTTGACGAATTATCCGATGTGATGAAGCGAATATATGGCAGATAAATTTACATAAAGATAATGGCACACCGCGCAATACGGGCGCGAGCGAATATATATCTACCTTCGACTTCGTGTAAAAATATGCGCAAGGTGCACGTTACTATCGGTTTAACGTTAAATAGATGCGGTTTTTACCGTCAGCTAAATATTTCAAGTATTTCTCTGTGAGTCGCGATAATATGCGAGCGATTGCAGCGGCGGTTAACGAGCGAATTCCAATCAATACGCAGCGCGCGACACGAGATACAGCAATATCACGCGAACACGAAGAAAAACGTTCATCGTAACACACAAGGCTAAGTTCTCCGCGTGTTTCTGGCGGCACACAGCGGCGGAGAAAAATACCCGTAACTACCGCGACAGAAAAAAAAAAAAATAAAACAAAAATTCTGCTACAATATCAGCGAATTAAAAAGATCCAATCTGTTTTCAGACTCGGCATCCCGTATACAGACTCGTATCGTAGAAATTTTATCCCCGGTTTTACTGATAGCTTGATTGCAGAAGTCGTGCGATAACATCGTACGCTTATCTGAGCCTCGTATAATGAAGCGATTTAAACGTCCGAAGACGACACTCGACGCCAAAACGTTGTTGCAATTTCGTTTTAATAAACAACCGGTTCTCGCAGTCGCTATCTTCATTTCTCGATTTCAAAAGTGAAGATTAGAGAGAGCAGAGGGGGAGTGGTTGGGGTCGATAAACGCGGGAATGAATAAACACACGCCCGGTGCGGCTGGACGCGAGTCGATACGCCGAAACAGCTAACTCGGAATGCCAATATTTACCCCCCCAACATCCGATAAAAAAAGTCGCACCCGCGCAATTGATGTTATGTTACGTTAATAAAGGTTAGCGCGTAACCGAGCCCCTCGGGTAAGAGCGGGAACGGAGAGAGGGAAGAGTTGAAAATTACTATCGCGCGCGGATATCGCGCGGTCTTCCTCAATATCGTCGCTTTTAATTTTCCCTGCGCCGCGGTATAAGCACCAAACAGTTAATTCGCACGTTTTTCCGAAACGAGCCATTGGTCCTCTTTTCTCTTCCAATCGATAGCGTTTTCGAAGCGCGTGAAGAGAAAAAAAAAGAGAACAGCAATCTACAACGGTGAAACGTTCCGACTGATTGGAATCAGCGCTATCGATGAACAACAGCCGCTTTGCAAAAATTTTGCTCAAAAACAAGATAGCACTCGGTTAATGCGATTGTTTTTTTTTTTTTTTTTTTCTAGTGTCTTATGAGATAGAATTTAAAAATTTTCACTAAATAATTGGAATGCTGCTAAAACTTAGCAGAAAGAACACCGTATACCTGTTGAATATATTTATAATCTTGAGAAAAAGAGATATATTATATTTGTCAAACCTCATCATTATTGTTTTTTTATTTAAATGAAGTATCAACAATCCATAAATGTTTCGCAACCGAGTAATCTGCGTCATCGCGCAGAAGATACATCGTCTGTTCAGATATTTCTTCTCGTTCTTGCGGAATATATAACGCAGGTTGTTCCACTTCCAAGATATTGAAATCATACGCGTAACGAATGCGCTTGGAAGGGAGAGAGAAGGGCGGAGAGTGCAGCGAGATGGTTAAGGAAATTGCCGGCACTCGGTCGTGAGCGCGGTTTTGCGGTGAGTGAGTTAAGTTTGCGCGCTCGTTTCCTGCGCCGCGTTGCACCTCCTTCCTTCCTCCTGCGCACATTTTCTCCCTCCAACAAAAAGACATCGCGCGATGGTCCTGGAAACTGCAGCAACGCAGTTGCTGCAACTTCTTGTCGCGCTCTCGTGCGAAGGTGAGAGCGGGAGTTAATTTAATCGAGCACGTTTTTCCGATCGAGTGTTATCCAAGTGCCACTTACGCGGCTGCAATTAACTTGCGCTATGAAATTTACCACGGGAGAGAAAGAAAAATATAGCAACACGCTGTTATTTATTTATTCGTGACGCGCACCTCGCCTTTAGAATAAAATATGCAAGAGAACATAGTGCTTCTCGACTCTGGAATAAAGTGTCACGGGACACAGAGATAGGAAAACTATTCGAGCCGCTAATGTCAATTTATTTTTATGTTCGATCATGAAGTGACGCCCATGACAAAAAATCATTACGAGTATTTCTTTAAGAAAACACTTTAAACGTACTTGACAAGCGAGGTTTGTTTTATGCAAGAAAAAAACAAACAAAAAAAAAATAAATAACCGTTAAAGAAGCGATGAAAAAAGAACGAGTTTACAAGTTAAAAAGTTATAGAAGAGAATATATGTAACTTTGAAAGAATAGTCTTTAAAGTTTTTGTTAATGTGCTTCGCCGACTGATGCAAAGTGATGAAATGTTTTTACGCGCTTCGGCGAACATTTTATATTTTTAGACTTTGTAATATAGTAGAGTAATAAAATATTTTTTAGTATTCTTTCTCTCTCTTTCATACGCACACACATATACACACACACACACACACACACACACACACATTACACATATTTTCTAAACATTTTGCCTCAAATATACATTTTGCTCTGTCCGACCTCGTTCCATTCGCCCCAAAATTTACACGAGAAGCATCAGCGTTCGAGATACGCGATCGAAATAATTCAGCATCGATCCTCCCTGTTAGTGGCTAATCGCGTATTCTCGATGCATGAATTTATCGATGCGCTGCACGCGCAACACGATCTCGACATCACGCGCGCATTAAACGTGCATCGCATGTTAACGGGTGTCGCATGAATGGCATTCGTCATGACGAGGATCGCTGACTGCGCTCTTGCTGCATCTGAGGCCTTTCGCGACTACTGACGTAAATTTTTTAACATTCAAAATTATATTTCAACATCTATCCAATATCCTTTCGCTTTCAATTATTTGTGAATATTTTTTTAAATTGTTTCGACAATAACATGCGATCCTCTTTTACGTAAACATTTAAATACATATTTTAAGTTTCTTTTTGGGTAATTAAATCAAATATCGCAACGGAGTATTAAAAAAAAAATCAGCAATTATAAATATTTATACAATGTAACAGCTGCATGAGAAAGGAATAATAATGGAGAAAGCACTTGGCGCTTTGGAAATATATACCTGGATAATAATACGGGTGTCCGGCGTGCGAGTGCGCGAGCGGATGTGGTGCTCGAAACTCCATTTTGGCGACTGGTTCCTCCAAGCGAAGCCGCAATACGGCGATGGGAATACGGTATACACTTTGAACGCGGTTAGGAGACTAGACCGCGATGACGACAGTCTCGACGGCACGACAATGCCGACAATTTTCCTTCACAAACTGAAGCGTACGATCGCGAAGCATCTTTTGCCTTTCGTCGAGCGACCGCACATGATATTATCCACTACAAATCGGTTGTTCTCACAATTTTGATATATGATCGCGTCACATTAAAAAATCCACAGGGTTCAGTGACGACAATTTTCTCACTACGCGCTGTTGCTTCTCGAATTCCGAGGGAGCGATTGAATATATTGAGCGATGGCGCGACAACGGGGTCGAAATTTTTGACAGATAACGATCCTTTCCGGAGCGAAAGTGACCGGTCGAGTATCACCGCTCAACGCGCATCCTTGCGGGTGTGCTTCGGACTCCCGTCTCCTCTCGTCCACGCGTGATTTACGGCCTCGGGGGGCCCGTAGGCGCTCCGTTCTACCACCACATATACGCAGTCGCACGCGCGCGCGTCGGGAGTCCGCGCGCTTAACAGACGCGTCGACGCGCCGCCGTGAAAAAGAGATACCGCCGCCAACAAGAGAAGCGCCGTCCGCCACCTCCCCCGACCTTGCAACACGGTTGACGTTCACACTGAGATTCGCGCTCTTCTCGCCTCTGCAACAAGGGACTCCCCACACGGGACTCTATCGTCGGAGTAGTAGTAGTAGTTGACTGTCGCGACGCGACGGGAGGGGAGCGGTTACGTCCGTGTGTACGGAAGAAGAGAGAAAGAGATGAGACGAGCGACGGAGAAGGGGGGGGCACAGACTCGCGCACTAATCACCATTTAATTGACCGAGACCGACGCGGCAGGTCGTGCCATTACCGCTAATTGACTGAGCGCATCGGCGCGGCCACCGGACTTGCGAGTATCTTTGCGTTTTTCGTTGCAATGGGATAAGCGCGGGGTGTGCGCAGAAAGGTCGGTTATCTCAACGGTGCACTGTGTAAAGGACGTGAAAAGAGATTCCGCTCTTTTGAAACGCTTCGTGCGGCGCGTGCGCCCCGTTTGCACACAGACCAGCGGTTCTGGCCCTCGTCGCCCCTACGCGACGTACGAGAAAAAATCCATCACTAACGAGAGACGCGCATCGTTTTCCTGCCGGTATTTATATGTCCACCCCGATGTGCTACTACATCCGATCACAATCACGCATGCATATACACGCACACTCGAGCGTTTTCTGCAGTCGCTCACGTGGGCGAACGAATACAAACCGACCACAACGCGATACCAACGGCGGCTGACACTCGACTGAAGAACCGAGCGACGGCGATGGGCCCGTCGTTGTGCGTTCGTTCATTTTCGTGCACCCTCGTCGCGTTCGCTCGTTTATCCCCCACCATCTGTGGCCGACAACGTACACGCTTGCCGCGCGCTTCGACCAAGATCGAATTGCCGACGGGGAAGAGTGGGGTCTCCCGCTACGACGGCTTGCTTTCGGCGAGAGCGACCAGCCGTCACACGTTATTACATGCATCTTCGCGAATCACACCGCGAGGCATCGGCGACGACTTTCCCCCTCCTTTTTTTTCTCTCTCTCTCTTTCACGGACTGTTCATCATTCTCGCTCGTATCACGTTCTCTTGATGCACCGAAGTCTCATGCCCTTATACATGTATAGATTCCTGCTCTTTTGTCTCCAAGCTCCAATCGGATGTCACGTCGATATTGTCAAGAGAGAGAGAGACCGTATTCTTATTCGCCGTGATTTTTAAACGGCGCGATCCTGATTAATTTTTATGAATATAAGAATATACTTCATTGCATTGTTAATTTAAGTCTTCCGCTTGTTTATCATTTTTTTGTCAAAACCATGTTATGTGAATGTCAGTATAAATAATACGCAAAAAACCTAATTCGCGTCAATGTTAACAGTACATGACAATTCATCAAAACATAATGTATGTGAAGTTTTAATTCCCTTAATATCCATAAATGAATATGGCTGACGGATAAAAACAGAAATTTTAATATAAAATTTGATCAGATATACGTTGCAGCAAACAATGAATTCATTTCAACGTGATAACATTGTGTTTCAAGAGCACGTAGGCAAGTAAGCAACAGTCGCTACATGGCATGCAAATGAATAAATGATTCCCAACACGATGTTAAAGTCTCCCTCCGTTCTTTCCTTCTAAGAACCCACGTCAGCCTTCTTTCTCTTCCTACACCGCGCACCAATAACAACACTCGGCGTCATATGAACACATTTCTCCATTAGCATCTCTATGGCTCTATCGCCACGAACTGCCTATGTAAGACCGTTTGCAAAACAAATCTCTTTGTCACGATAAACCAGATAAGCGAAATATAATCGGACACACGTTGAACCTAATTCATCCTGCTCGAGAGTCTAAACCGGACTCCGTTGAGTAAACATTGTGCCACCCACATTTTTTAACAACGTGCCATCCGAACTAACCGTAGAAAAAAATATTCCGAAATCTACAGAGATATGCGTTTCTCACGAAATTCTTAGGTATAAAAAAAAACGACCGGATATATTCATTCTGGGACCCTGAAGCTGCCCCTGTGTTAGTCCCGCTTCTTTCCATTCTTTTCGTCTTACGCAACCACCAGCCGCTTCGAGCTAAACGTCAGGATCTCTAGAAGAGTGCTTCTTCGTCTCTTTCTTTCCTTCTCACTCTCTTCTATTTCTCTCTTTGTCATTCTTTTTTCTCTCTCTCTCTCTATTTCGTACACTCGTCCTTTTGGGGCCATCTGGCGCTGAAACGGCACGCGCTGTTCACCAGCACAAGTCGCTCTCTCTCTTCTTCCTTTTCTCAACTACCATAGTTGTTCTCTCTTTGTCCCTGTCTCTCTGTCTCTTTCTTTCTATATCACATCCACCCTCTCGCACAAGACCCCCTTCCATCGGGGGGTCTGAAATCCAACCACTCTGTCGAGGTTCTACTCGCGCCACCGACCGCCGCGTCGCGTTCTCTCACCCTCTCGTTCTGCCGCTGCCGCCACCGCCACTTCACCCGGAAACCCGAACGTTAGGGGGATCGAAACGATGTAAACGTGAGAGACGAGGTGAAAGAGCGGGTTGGGGGTTTGAACGACGAAGGGGGAACGAAAGCCTGACGTAGATAGAACGATTACGAAGTCGACGGCTTCCTAAATAATTCGCGCGTTTCCGAGCGCGTCGTCACTTTGACACACGCGCGGATCTGTGCCGTCTATATCCGTCGCGCTGTGCTACTGTGTAATTTGAATTCCGCGAAACGAGACGGCTCGACGAACTCTCGGCCGACGACACCTACGATTCGACGCGCGCGCACGTTGTTATCTGATAATCCTTTGATACGTCAAAATTATTTCGGCTGTCGTGTGTAATTTTGTTGTCGCGCACATATCAGAACTATCGCAGCTAATTTTCTGAAATGCTGCGCTCTAATTTTACAAATGACAGATTCGTTTATCATCTCTGTAGAGAGACCGTGTCATTTGATTTAGTTGATGGATGTTTACGAAGAAAAAATTGTTCATAAGAACGCGAGAAAATGTTTTCTGCAGCTATTGAACGCAATTGTTTTGAAAGATGTGCGACTCCACGATACACTTCCTCGAAAATATTTCAATCGCGACGCGAGTGCAAATGTTTCACAAATAAAAGTGCGTTTGAAGATTTGTTGCAAAAACACAATCAAACATTTTTTTTGAGAAAATATTTATACGATTTCTCTTGCACTTCGTGTTGCGATTTGATTACGAGGTCAAGAACTGCTGTTCGCCAGGGCGAAGATAATTTAGCTCGTAAAATTAGTACAGTTTTTAACCACGAACGTTGTGTAAAAAGATTAAAAATCCCCGTGTCTCGCGACCGTGTCGTTCGACCGCGATGCAAGTTGCACAAGAGAAACGCTAAACCGCGGAACGACGATCGTGAAATTATCATGACCAATCCATCCGATTAGCCAAGTAGACACAGTCCTTCGCGCGCAAGTTATACATATGCAAGTTATACAATGGGTCTTAAAAATTAAAATATTCTGTGTATCTTTCAAACACGCAGGTATTGAAAATGTCAATAGAAGTAACACGCTCGAAAAAAACAAAAAAACAAAAAAAAAAGAGAAATCCCACATAAGTTTGGAATTTTTTTGAAAGAAAAAAAACGTGTTGCCTTTGTATAATCATAAAATTATGGCCGTACATATCTCTTTTATTATACCGTTCGAGAGAAACTCGAAACGACGTCGTCACACACAGCACGGGCGGTTATTTACGTGACACGTCTATATGTACACATTATTACGTAGTGGTGCGGTTTCGTCGCGATTATCTTCAACGTGTAATTTACCGTGACTATTAGCCGCTGAACAATTACCGCCATCGACCTGTTTCAGAGCCCCAAGGCCGAAATTACCGATACGCTAATTCTTGTAAACGGGTAATTAACTTCGCGTCGCGGCATACGGCCTGCCAACCGACAAAATACGCTTTCCCGCAATAATGCCCTCCACTGCGCGCGCGATGCGCGCCTCGCGATGTGCAATTAATTCCCCCTCTTTTCGCGGGGAGCGCGTGCACTCGTGGCTATTGTAACGGCAATCCAATAAACTGATGTGGCCATTAAAGTTGATCGTTAAGCCGATAACAACGTGTCCGCGCGCGCATGTTCTTTCAAAGTAGCCACGTGTGCGTGCACGATATCAAAAAGCGCTGAGCGATTGCGTCGATACATATGCGTAATATGAAGCTTCGATTTTTATGACGGAAATTGTTTTTCTCTATACGCGCGAGAGCAACAAGTAAAAGAGTTGCAGTGTCCGCGCTACACAAGCGCGCGCGCGCGACGCATAGATATATTATAGCGAGAATCAAGAGGCACGGTAGTGCCTCGCGCCAAGTTCACGCGCAACGAAGTGGCGCTCGAACTGCGCGAGCACACCGTGCCTCTTATACGCGAGATTCAGGCAATTCAGTGGAGGGGAAATTTGTAATCAGTCATTTCTTAACAACG